ATTTGCAGAGTGAACTAGCAGATGGAAGATCTTTCTTTTTGTCTCTCCTCTCTGTAAGTCAGCACCCCCTTCCCCCTACAAAGAAAAACAAAAAAAGAAAAAAAAAACCAGCAAAAACTCAGCTGAAATACTCACTTTTGCTTAAACACCTTTGATCCCAAGGAACGTAGTACTCCTGAAAAAAAAATCTATTTTACAGGGGTAGTGTGCTGTCGTGTGTGTGTGTGTGTGTGTGTGTGTGTGTGTGTGTGTGTGTGTGTGTGTGTGTGTTGGGGGGGACTCAGCTTCCTCTGCCACAAAGTGACACATCCCTCTACTATGCGCCAGCCCCGTTTGGAGCAGCAAGCATGTAGCCCCAAGCCTCAACTGTTTTTCACGTGAGAAACTGGCTTACATCTCTTCCTGGACTCTCTCATAAAAGGGAAAGTAACCTTACCCTGTTTTATCCTTCGGTTTTCAAAAGTCACAGAAAAAAACAAGGCCGTAGCCCCACACACTTTAAAATAGGCACAAATACCTAATCAGCTCTAAAGGGATCAAAAAGGACCCCAGGACTCCCCTGCAGGCCTCTGCGGCCACAATTGGCCAAATCACCCAGCAGGCAAGAGTCACAATCCAACCACATTTCTGTCTCAGACTTTGCCACTTAGAGAAAGCCATCCCACTCGCAGTGCCTTATCACAGCAATCTGATCTGGAGCTGAAACCGTATTTCTCTGCCACCCCTTCCTCCTCGTTGGACCCTCCCCCTCCCTGCCCCCTTAAGTCCCCAGGGTTTCCACAAATGGCCCCTTTAACTTATCCTAGATGCTTCCCAGGGAGAACCAGGCAGCGCTTTTCCGGATTCGCACATCGCAGCCTTCATCTCGCCAGTTCACCTGTTGCTCCTGTGTCTCGCTCCCTCACCTGTGCTTGCAAGCAGGGGCTGATTTTTCCACTCCCCCGCCCCTGCTTTTCCTTGTAGTCCTCGGGAGCCCCTTCTTCCTCCTGCCTCGCTGCGTGGTGGGAACTGTAGTTCCGGCCCCAGGTGTCAGGTTTGGCGGCCAGAGAAAGCGAAAGGAAAGACGGCTCGATCCCTCCCACCTTGTGCAGCTGCAGCCGCGGGCGTCGCAGGGTACGAAGGCGCGCCAGAGGCGCTGGCCAGCGCTGGGTCCCGCACGCAGCCCGCCGCGCTCTCAACGTGGGACAAGGAGACGCCAGCATGCTCAGCTAGCTAGCTAGCTCCACGAGCTAGCTGTCTCTGTTCCTTACTTTACTCTTAAGCATCTTCCGCCCTGCTTTTTCTTTTGGTTGAGCTCAAAGATGTTAATTGAAGGTACCTGCCTTAAACGAGGGTGCAGATCTCGGTCTTAAGGAATGCAATTTTCCCGCGGATTTAATCAAGTCCACTGTTTCTGAGGAGAGACAGAGGGGCCATCCAAGCAGAAGGTGAAAATAAACGAGCGCAAAGACCCACTGCAATCCTAGAAGGACTTTGAAGCCCGCAAGGGGCGAGACTGAAGCTCAAAATATTTCTTTCCCTCTCTCCCAGTTCTACTGAGTTCGAGGAAAACCCAGAGTTGAGCGGTCCCCGATGCGGGCAGTGGAAGCCTAAAGCTGAGGGGACGTTCCTTCCATCCTTCCGCTCATGGTGCCCAGAGCAGCGGCTGCTTCTCAGTATCCATCAAGGGCACTGAATTTCTCCACTTGGTGCAGTATAATGTGGCAGCGGTGGGGTGGCACACACAACAGAAACAGCTTGCTAGGTAAAATATTTAAATGGGGATAGTGTTGTTTTAAAATATTTATTTTATCTTTATTGGAAAGGCAGACTTACAGAGGAGAGACAGAGAGGAAGAACCTTCATCTGCTGGTTCACTCCCCAAGCAGCTGTAATGGCCGGTGCTGCGCTGATCTGAAGTCAGGAGCCAGGAGCCTCTTCTGTGTCTCCCACGCAGTTGCAGGATCTCCAGCCTTTGGGCCATCCTTGACTGCTTTCCAAGCCACAAGCAGGGAGCTGGATGGGAAGTGAGGCTGCTGGGAAGCAAACCAGCGCCCATATAGGATTTCTGGCTTGCAAGGTGAGAGCTTTATCACGCATGGGGCCTGGGGACAGTGTTGTTACACTGTGGGCTGTGACCTGAGAATAGATCACGGAATCAGTGGTAGTGGGTGGCAAGCAGTGTTTTTAAAAGATGAGTTTGGGGGGGCGGGGAATCAAATTATACCTATGTAATCAGAGTGAGTATTGTTTTGGGAATGATTTGGGTCAGCTGTCACAGACTTGTTCCATAGGGGTATGTTAAATGGACTTATCACTTGGGCTGAGGTCCAAACATTTGAAATGGGGGCGGGGGGGGACAACTGTCCCAAAACATTGTTTTTGTAAGGCTTCAAATTGCCTTCAAAATAAGGTTTATCTTAACCCAATTCCATTGACATACACGTCAGTTTCTGGGACTTTGGGGAAAGGTACCAGCACTGGCAAACAGACAACAAGGGAACGGGACATGGCCACGTGCTGCTGGGGACTGTTGCCTGGACTGCTGTTATTTCTTTAAAAAAAAGTTTTTTAAAATTTTCTTAATTTTTTTAAGGATTTATTTATTTTTAAAAAGATTTACTTTCATTACAAAGTCAGATATACAGAGAGGAGGAGAGACAGAGAGGAAGATCTTCCGTCTGATGATTCATTCCCCAAGTGAGCACAATGGCCGGTGCTGTGCTGATCTGAAGCCGGGAGCCAGGAACTTCCTCCAGGTCTCCCACACAGGTGCAGAAAAGGATTTATTTTATTGGAAAGGCAGATCAGATTTACAGAGAGGAGAGACAGAGATTTTCCATCTCTTGGTTCACTCCTCAAATGGGAATTGTTTAGAACTGAACAGAGTCAGAGTCTGGGGCCAGGAACTTTCTCCAGGTGTCCCACGTGGATGCAGGGTCCCAAGGCTTTGGGCTGTCCTCGACTACTTTCCCAGACCACATGCAGGATGGGAGGTGAGGCAACCAGGATATGAACTGAGGTCCCTATGGTGCCCTGGCACTTTATGGTGGAGGATTAGCCTGCACCACGCAGCGCCAGTCTCTCTCTGATCTATCTAGATATGTTTGTTTGTTTTAATCATTTAAACGATACATTTCAATGGCATGAAACACATTGTTGTATAACCAACACTGTCAACTATTTCCAGAATTTCTTCATCTTTCCAAGTAAATTACTTGCCCATTAAAGAATCATTCTCTATTTTTCTTCCCCTCAGCCTCTGGTAACCACCATTTTATTTTCTGTCTTTGTGAGTTTGATTATTCCAAGGATCTCCTCTACACAGAATCATGCAATATGTATCCTTCTGGGTTCTCTTAACAGTATTTTTGACTTGGGGTGGGTGGGACACTGGGTGGGACTTCTCCCTCAATATCCTCCTTTACCTCAGATACATGAAGGAAACAATATGGAAATAATAGTCTTACCCCTTCCCTATAGCCCTAGAACCTTTTTTTAACATAGTATTTTTGAAGTTCACCCATGCTGTAGCATGTACCAGAATTCCATTCCCTTTTAAGACAAATATATCCCATGATATATATTTTTAAAATAACAGCGACTTGTCTGGTTGATTTATTTTTGCTCACCGTGACCTCCTGTGGCCCAGCCACACACTGGGAGGGCTGTAGTCAGACTAAGGCTGTGCTGTGTATGAGCAAGCACCAACGGAAAACCAAATCCCGAATGCCACGGCCAAAAATAAGGGCAGAGATGGGCTCCTGGCCCCCTTCCGCCTGCCTTCCAGAATGCCCTTTTCAAATTTGGGCAACTATTTATAATGGCTAAATAAGAGTCTCATGGGAGCCACTAGCCTGGAGTGTAGGAGCTGTGAGCAAGTCTTTGACATTCAAACATGAAGGGGATCAGTGTCCCCGGCTCCTATTTCCATGGGAGCCTAAGTGCCTTGGTGGACCCCCTGCTCCGATGGGAAAAAGATGTGCCATGCTGTCCTGTCCCCCTTTGAGGAATGTTCTTACTTTATGTTTAAAAAAAAGACTTATTTTTATTGATCAGGCAGATTTACAGAGATAAAGAGAGACAAAGGTCTTCCGACCGCTGGTTCACTCCGAAAATGGCTCCAACGACCTGAGATGAGCTCATCCAAAGCCAAAAGCCAAGAACTTACTCTGGGAGTCTCATGTGGGTGCAGGGTCCCAAGGCTTTGGGCCATCTTCCACTGCTTTCCCAGGCCAGAAGCAGGGAGCTGGATGGGAAGAGGGACAGCTGGGACATGAACCAGCGTGCACATGCCATCTGAGTGAATGCAAGGCGAGGACTTTAGCCACTAGGCTATTGTGCTGGACCCAGAAAGGCAGATTTACAGAGAAGAAGAGAGGAAAAAAAAGATTTTTCCATCTGCTGGTTCATTTTCTAAGTGGCCACAACAGCCAAAGCTGAGCTGATTGGAAGTCAGGAGCTTCTTCTGGGTCTCCTACATGGGCGCAGGTACCCAAGACTTTGGGCCATCCTCTACTGCCTTTCCTAGACCATAAGAGGGAGCTGGATGGAAGGTGAGCAGCCAGGAACCGAACCCGCATCCCTATGGGATTCTGGCACTTGCAAGGAGAGGATTTACCACTGAGCCATCGCACAGGGCCCGTATAAAATGAATTTAAGCAAAAATCAAGCATAGGCAGGTCAGGGCAAGGAGTATGTAGCATTCTATTCATAACAAAGAACAAAACAATGCTCTTTACAAAAAAAAATATCTATACATAAGATCTCCCCAAAGCATATTTTCTCTTTTGCTCCTTGTCTTTCTCAACTAGCTTTCCTGGGTAGTGCTTCCGTGTAGGCACTTTGTTCACATTGAAAGTGCTCCACCCCACGGCCCGGCAGCCGCCGGTCCCTCTGCAGCCCGCAGGTGAAGTCGCACTGGACGGACTACAACTCCCGGCATGCCCCCAGGGCGTGCCGGTCACGTGAGCGCCCGGAAACCCTGGCCGCCTCGCGGAGGGTGAGGTGGCGGCGCAGGCGGCGGAGCAGCCGAGAGGAACGAGGGCAGCCGAGCAGCCGGAGGTGCGGAGAAGCGGTCAGTACCCGCAGGTCTCGGTGCGCTGTGGGGCCGGAGCCTGGCGGAGGTGAGGCGGGCCCGAGAGGCTCCCAGGGGACCGGAGGGTGATGCCGAGCCGCAGGCGGTGGCTCCCGGTGGGTGGGTGTGGCGCTGCCAGCCTGCTGCCCCCTGCCCGGGCCTGGGCTCCTCCGGGCAGCTGGTCGGTGCTGCGCTGCTGCCCATGGGGGACCCGGGTGCGAGCTGCAGGGCTGACCGAGAGGATCGGGCAGGTCCCTGGGCGAGAGCCGGGGGCCAGCCCTTGCCCGCCCGGTGGCGCGCCTTTGTGCCCCTCGCCCGCCCCTGCCGTCCAGTCTTTGAGCCTGGGAAGTTTTAACTTGAAAAACAGGCCCATGGCGCAGACCAGACATGGTGGGGTGAGGACGCATTTTGGAGAGGGTGCTTAGAAGTCAGAGGGAAGAAGGGTGTCCGTGGAGTGGTGAGGGCATTTTTTTTTTCTTTTTTCTTTTTTTTTTTTGGCTGACCACCGTGATTTCGGACTGGGAGTTTTATCCAATGGCTTCTTCGCGCTTCCCGCACGCTCATTTGCTGAGTGTGTTGTGGGTTGGCAAGATTTTCAAGGGGTTAGTGACAATGTATCCACAGGCTGTTTGGTGTTTCCTGAAGTGCAAGATTGTCGGCAGTCTCCCAGGAGCTCCTGCTTCAGTGTTTCTAAGGAGAGAAGCCGCTGGGTGGGCCACATCTGACTTTTCATGGCTGATTTCTGTGTCCACGGCTTTATGAACTGCCTTTACACAAGTAGATAGCAGTTGTGTGAGGCCTCTGCGGGGCCTTGGATGACTTCTTTCCCATTTAGATGTTAGATGTTGCCCTAGCCTGGCTGCATACTAAGAACTACATGTAAATGCTCTCATTGCATCTGTGAGGACGAAGTGGAGGCGCAAAGAAGTTGCCTTGGTACCTCTTTGGAGCCGACACCTGACTTTGTCCTTGCATGACACCATTCCTTTGCTACTCTTTGGTTTCCAGCTTTTACCTGCGAGAATCAACGCTCCAAAGGACAGGATCACGTGCGTGCGCTGAAGTCACTCCACTGACCTTCAGCTTGAATGTTGATCCTTTGTCTAGAAGAAGGAAAGGTTTTTTCTTCTTTGTTAGAGACATTTGTTTTTGTTGGAAAGGTAGATTTATAGAGGGAAGGAGACAGAAAGATCTTTTATCTGGTGCTTCACTGGCCAAGTAGCCGCAATGGAGCCAAGTGGATCCAAAGCCAGGAACCTGGAGCCTCTTCTGGGTCTCCCATGCACGTGCAGGGTCCCAAGGCTTTGGGTCGTTCTCCGCTGCTTTCCCAGACCACAAGCAGGGAAGTGGATGGGAAGTGGAGCAGCTGGGACACGAACCGGCGTCCATATGGGATCCTGGTATTTGGAATGGGAGGATTAACCAATTGAGTCATCGTGTTGGGCTCCAGAAAGTTGGCTTTTTTGTTTTTTTTTTTTAATCTTCATATTTAGTTGTCTGTGGAACCTGTACAAAAGTGATAGGAAGAATTATTTTTATACAGGTTTGGGGCACTGAGGAGTCAAATGTTTTAAGAAATAAAGGATAGAGATTTTGTATCTGTAGTAATGAAACAGTTTAAGAAGAGAAAAATTATAGGGATATTTGAATTTTACATGGTGTGCAGGTAGATGGCTTTGGATGACTTCATGTGGTATAAAAAGACACCCATATGAGTGTTGAGCATGGAGCTGTTAGCCACAAAATTATGGCGACCTCCTGTCTAGTTGATACTTTCCCACCAATCTCTACACATTTTGAGCACACATAATCTTTTACATTTGCAAATGTGAAAAATGAATTTTGGGGAGTGAGGTAATTGCCTGCCTGAGGTCCTTGTAGTTCAAGTGTGTGAGAGAAACGCTGTTACTGATAAGATGGACATAGGCCTGTTAGTTCAAGGTGTACTAGTTCTAATCTCTGTTTAAGCCACCTTGGGGCATTTTCTAGTCCGGCCTTATCTTTCACACCACGTAACTGGGATCTGGAGTCAGGTCTGGGTTTGAATGCACACTCCTGTCTCAAGAGAGATTACTTGCTGGTATTTGTCCTCTTATCTGTAAAGCATTACAACTAAATGAGATAAGCATTCAGTGTCTGTCCATTGGCCCTTGAATTTGTTCCTGAAAAAATCTTTCCTGATGATTCTAACTGCATACCAAGACCTGGCTTTAGAGCTGGAGATTTAGGACTAAAAAAGGCACTGCTTTTGTGGCGATTACAACCCAGGAGCGAACAAGCAAGCAGTTAAGACTGTATTGGGAGAAGTGCTAGGAGAGACACAGACAAGTTACCACTCAGGGGAACTGATTTAGAGAGAGGTCAGGGCAGGCCATGCTAGGAGGTGACATTCTGATGATGAACCCAGAAAAGAAAGGTGCAAGCCATTTGCAAAGAACCAAGAAGAAACGTTGGGGGCAGGTGGGCAGCCGGTCACAAGACCCATTCTGAGAGTGGGCTTACTGGCTTTGGGGACAAGAGGGGGAGTTAGAGCAGGGAGACAGTAAGAGGGTACAGGAGTGTTGGCAGTGAGATTGGAGGGGCAGGTGGGCAGAGTTAAAAGAAGGGGTGCTAGTCCCTTACTGTGTGTGCTGGCAGAGGAGGGAGCAGGTGGAATAGGCAAAGATGTGTTCATGTTGTGGAGGAGCAAGGCACCTGTAAATGCTTGAGTGAAGTGGAAGTGTGTGTGAGGGTGGGGGCTCTGCCTTTGATGTATGCAGAGGTGCAGATTCTGCAGGCAGAAGAAAGTGGCAGAACAGTGCTTTTTTTTTTTTTAAGATTTTTTATTTGTTGGATTTACAGAGAAAGAGAGACAAACATCTTCCACCTGCTGGTTTACTTCCCAAATGGCTGCAAAGGCCAAAGGCTGATCTGATCTGAAGCCTGGAGTTTTCTCTGGGTCTGCCATGTGGGTGCAGGGTCCCAAGGTGTTGGGTCACCTTCCACTGCTTTCCCAGGTCACAAGCAGGGAGGTGAATGGGAAATGGAACAGCCGGGACACAAACTGACATCCATCTGGGATGCCGATGCTCGCTCATAGAGGATTAGCTAATTAAGCAGAGTTTCTTGAGAATGGGGGAACAACACTCTGACTGCTTTTTTGTGTGTTTTGAGTTTTCAATTTTATGCACATATGAGATGCTTTAGGAAGTTTGCAGATAAATAGAATTGAAAGTTACTATGAATTTTCCATGAGTTCTTGAAATGCCTTGGTATTACCATTGTGAATTAGTAGAAGAGTTAAAATATAACTCAGAGACTCCTGTAATCATTGACTCGGGCAGGTTGCTCCAGCTTCTGGAGCCTTCTACCAAGCTGGCTGTCAGCACTGCTGCTCCCTGTCCCTCGCTAGCCATCTTCTTCTTTTTCTTTTTAAAACACTTGTTTATTTTTATTGCAAAGTCAGATATACAGAGAGGAAGGGAGACAGAGAGGAAGATCTTTGGTCTGATGATTCACTCCCTAAGTGACCAGTGCTGCGCCGATCCGAAGCCAGGAGACAGGAACCTTCTGCACATCTCCCATGCAGGTGCAGAGTCTCAAGGCTTTGGGCCATCCTTGATTGCTTTCCCAGGCCAAAAGCAGGGAGCTGGATGGGAAGTGGAGCTGCTGGGATTAGAACCGGCGCCTATATGGGATCCCAGCAGGTTCAAGGTGAGGACTTTAACTGCTACGCTATAGTGCCAGGCCCACACCATCTTCTTACAGAGTTCTGGATTAGACCAGTTTTGGAGGCCATGGTTAAGAGTTGGTTTTTGCCCAAGTCTGAGAAGCCATCAAGGGCTTTGAGCAGAAGAAGACATCCATTCTGAGTTAGGCTTCCGGCTGGTGTGGGGAAGAATGTGTTGGGGTGGACAAACATTGCAGTGGTGGGCCCGTGCAGGCAGGAGGGAGATACTGGCGGAGGGGGTGGCGGTTACCCTTGCAGGTGAAAAGGGTGGGATGAAGTAATGGCTTGGGTGGGAAGGCTGCCGAAGAGATAAAGATAGGTCCTCGTTCCCCGGTCTGCTAGGTGGAGAGCTAAGGAAGGAGAAGCGAAGAATTGTTTCAGATCCATGGAGGGTCAGTATGTAGGCCCTGCCCCCCCAGCTGTCCGAGTTATAGTGCCCTGAGCTGGGAGTCCCAGGCATGGGCCTTGTACTGGATGGAGGAGGAGAAGGAAGCCAGGAAAGTGTAGTGGGGAAGTGTGAAATTGCTGGGTTGGTTGAGGAAGCAGAGTGATTGGGGAAGTGTGGTAGACGCGCTGGGCAGTGTAGTCTGTCCTTTGAGGTCTGTGGTTTTGAATCTGAAAAGTGAAATCATCCTGTTTGTGTGATTTTTTTTTTCTCTCTTTTGGCAAAACCCAGTGCCCGAGGGAGGCAGGGAGGGACGCAGAGGCAAGGGGGCGGGGTGGCGGGGAGAAAAGGCAGCTTAGGGAGATGGTAGGGACAGAAGTGGGGACAGGAGGAGGCTGGTGGGCAGCGGAACCTGGTGTGCAGCCCGGAGGTGGCTCTTCCAAGGAAAATGCCCGCTGGCCTGTGGTGTGCTATCGGAAGCAGTCTGGCAGCAAGGAAAGAGTGTCTGGAACCCAGGTCAGGGAGTGATGGCCAGGACCCAGTGTTGACTCTGAGATGGGTTTGTGGGAGATTGAGGAACAGGTTGGTCTGGAATGGAGAGAGGCCCCTTGGCACATGGGCAGAAGAAGCTGGAGTCTCACAAGGAGACGAGTTGGAAGTAGCAGTTGGGAAGCAAGGAGGCTCTGGCTCCTGTGTGCTTGAGTGATGCTGGTGGTTGAGAGGTTGCAGCAGGTGAACGGGGATGGCCAGGTGTCTGTTAGGCCTTGGGGCATAGGTACCATCTGCTCTAGTCTCCCAGAGAACACAGTTTAAAAAGGAATGGAGATGGGGGAAGACGTTGGCAGCTTGGTTACAGTGTGTGGAATGCATATGATGTGCTAGATGCATCATTTTTACATAATTTAGATTACTGTTTAAAAGCAGCATTTCCCTCCCCCTTCCCTCAAGCTTGATG